AAGCTTTCATTTTCAAACTATTCCAGGCTACTTGGAATGGTTTTGGAGATGGTGACTGAAGGAGCTGATTGAGTTTTGACACGTTCAGTGGTTTAACCTCAGCTGTGAGCATGGAGACAAAAACACCACTTTTAGAATCTTACAGTATCTTGTTCCAGCATGACTTTCCATGTGGTCCTAAAACAGAGAAGATGGACAACTCACACTCTGGCTCAGTTCTTGTAAAACAATATATATATATATATATATATATATATATATATATATATATATACAGTTGAAGTCAGAAGTTTACATACACCTTAGCCAAATACATTTAAACTCAGTTTATCACAATTCCTGACAATTAGTCCAAGTAAAAATTCCCTGTCTTAGGTCAGTTAGGATCACCACTTTATTTTAAGAATGTGAAATGTCAGAATAATAGTAGAGAGAATGATTTATTTCAGCTTTTATTTCTTTCATCACATTCCCAGTGGGTCAGAAGTTTACATACACTCAATTAGTATTTGGTAGCATTGCCTTCAAATTGTTTAACTTGGGTCAAACGTTTCAGGTAGCCTTCCACAAGCTTCCCACAATAAGTTGGGTGAATTTTGGCCCATTCCTCCTGACAGAGCTTGTGTAACTGTCAGGTTTGTAGGCCTCCTTGCTCGCACACGCTTTTTCAGTTCTGCCCACATATTTTCTATAGGATTGAGGTCAGGGCTTTGTGATGGCCACTCCAATACCTTGACTTTGTTGTCCTTAAGCCATTTTGCCACAACTTTGGAAGTATGCTTGGGGTCATTGTCCATTTGGAAGACCCATTTGCGACCAAGCTTTAACTTCCTGACTGATGTCTTGAGATGTTGCTTCAATATATTCACATCTATTTTGTGAAGTGCACCAGTCCCTCCTGCAGCAAAGCACCCCCACAGCATGATGCTGCCACCACCGTGCTTCACGGTTGGGATGGTGTTCTTCGGCTTGCGTACTATTGTTTGTACAGATGAACGTGGTACCTTCAGACGTTTAGAAATTGCTCCCAAGGATGAACCAGACTTGTGGAGGTCTACCATTTTTTTTCTGAGGTCTTGGCTGATTTCTTTTGATTTTCCCATGATGTCAAGCAAAGAGGCGCTGAGTTTGAAGGTAGGCCTTGAAATAGATCCACAGGTACACCTCCCATTGACTCAAATTATGTCAGAAATAATCTGTCTGTAAACAATTGTTGGAAAAATTACTTGTGTCATGCACAAAGTAGATGTCCTAAACAACTTGCCAAAACTATAGTTTGTTAACAAGAAATTTGTGAGGTGGTTGCAAAACAGGTTTTAATGACTCCAACCTAAGTGTATGTAAACTTCCGACTTCAACTGTATATATATACATATATATTTGTTATATATATATATATGTTTTATTGTCACATACACTGGATAGGTGCAGTGAAATATGTTGTTTTACAGGGTCAGCCATAGTAGTACAGTGCCCCTGGAGCAAATTAGGTTTAAGTGCCTCCCTCAAGGGCACATCGACAGATTTTTCACCTTGTCCGCTCGAGTATTCAAACCAGCGACCTTTCAGTTACTGGCCCAACGCTCTTGTGTTTAAAGTGGATAAATAGGAAACCAAGCGAGCTTTCCCATACATTGGACTAGCCCACACTATGGTTGCATCCCAAATGGCACCCTATTCCTTATAGTGCACTACTTTTGACCAGAACCCTATGAGCCTTGGTCAAAAGTAGTGCACTATAGAGGGAATAGGGTGCTATTTTGTATGCATACAATTAAACCATGAATTAATCAATGCCCTTTTGTCCTTAGAGGAAATTAGTCACAGATTGGGTTCCTATAGAAGATTAAACATATTATACAATCTGAGGAGTGGAACCACGAGCCTCTCTTGTCCCTGGCTGGCTGGTTGGTTGGCTGGCCTCTCTTGTCCCTGGCTGGTTGGTTGGCTGGCCTCTCTTGTGCTTGGCTGGCTGGCTGGCCTGTCTTGTCCGTGGCTGGCTGGCTGGCCTCTCTTGTCCCTGGCTGGTTGGTTGGCTGGCCTCTCTTGTGCTTGGCTGGCTGGCTGGCCTCTCTTGTCCCTGGCTGGTTGGTTGGCTGGCCTCTCTTGTGCTTGGCTGGCTGGCTGGCCTGTCTTGTCCGTGGCTGGCTGGCTGGCCTCTCTCGTCCTGGTCCCTTTGCAGAAAAACAGCCCCAAAGCATGATGTTTCCACCCCCATGCTTCACAGTACGTATGGTGTTCTTTGGATGCAACTCAGCATTCTTTGTCCTCCAAACACGACGAGTTGAGTTTTTACCAAAAAGTTCTATTTTGGTTTCATCTGACCATATGACATTCTCCCAATCCTCTTCTGGATCATCCAAATGCACTCTAGCAAACTTCAGACGGGCCTGGACATGTACTGGCTTAAGCAGGGGGACACATCTAGCACTGCAGGATTTGAGTCCCTGGCGGCGTAGTGTGTTACTGATGGTAGGCTTTGTTACTTTGGTCCCAGCTCTCTGCAGGTCATTCACTAGGTCCCCCCGTGTGGTTCTGGGATTTTTGCTCACCGTTCTTGTGATCATTTTGACCCCACGGGGTAAGATCTTGCGTGGAGCCCCAGATCGAGGGAGATTATCAGTGGTCTTGTATGTCTTCCATTTCCTAATTAATTGCTCCCACAGTTGATTTCTTCAAACCAAGCTGCTTACCTATTGCAGATCCAGTCTCCCCAGCCTGATGCAGGTCTACAATTTTGTTTCTGGTGTCCTTTGACAGCTCTTTGGTCTTGGCCATAGTGGAGTTTGGAGTGTGACTGTTTGAGGTTGTGGACAGGTGTCTTTTATACTGATAACAAGTTCAAACAGGTGCCATTAATACAGGTAACGAGTGGAGGACAGAGGAGCCTCTTAAAGAAGAAGTTACAGGTCTGTGAGAGCCAGAAATCTTGCTTGTTTGTAGGTGACCAAATACTTATTTTCCACCAGAATTTGCTAATAAATTCATTAAAAATCCTACAATGTGATTTTCTGGAGAAAAAAAATCTCAATTTGTCTGCCATAGTTGACGTGTACCTATGATGAAAATTACAGACCTCTCTCATCTTTTTAAGTGGGAGAACTTGCACAATTGGTGGCTGACTAAATACTTTTTTTCCCCCACTGTACATGGTCCATGCCAGCTGGGGTTCATGTTCAGCTGACATTCCCAACTCTTCTCTAAGACATTCACACACACAGGCACCATATGTTGTCTATATGATTCCCTGATCATACTGCGTATGTCTATATAAATGGTATGTGTAATACAGTAGATTATTTTTATTTTTTTAATGTTTAATACATAGAGGAACCGTAATATGTATAACAGTATAGGCATTTTACTGATGATTGACCCACCTAACAAAATCACACACTATTTTATATGACTTAATTTAACCACCATTTTGGTAGATTTGTATTGCACATAGTTAATAGATGGCATATGAGACAGACTTTATAAGAATATGACACATTAATTGTACATTTCAAGGTCCAATTGCACATCAGTATACACCATTGTGGAGAGGTGAGAAGGTAAACTACAAAACAACTTAACAGTATTAGTGACGAGTGTGAATACATTAGGGCATATACAGCAATAACAATACAATACTCATATAAAACACTTCCTGCATGATATCCAACACATACAATACAGCATAACACTTGCAGCTCTAGTACTTGTAACCAAGTGAACACCCTGGGAAAAAGTGATTTGACTTTCTTAATTGACAGTAAGTCAATTGTATTGGAGTTAGAACATTGACGGGTAGATTGTATTCATGAACATCTTTGAATTTTAACACCACAATTTTACAGAACACATTGTATACATTCCTACTTGTGGTAACTACAGCTATTATTCTGTACATACCATATACACATATTACATAGTTAAACCAACAAAGACAAGGACATTCATTCTGAGCAAATGTCAAACTTGGGTTGAGCAATATGAATTCTCTTTCATCAATGTTTTAAAGACACGCTCCGGAACTCTGCCGACTACTAAGCATTTTTTAAACATCCCACATTGGGCTGGATGTGTCAATGTGTAGTTCATACATTCATAATCTATGAGCAGAATGACTGTTTTACCTCAATTTTCCATGAAATCCCTAGTTTGAAAAGCTGTGCTGGTCCATTTTCCCTACACGTGGGACAGTTTGATTTCAACCAATGAGCTTCAACCCCTCGCCATATTAGTGACAGCTAGCAAGAGGCACATCATGCACCACAGCAGAGCGATGACACGTTGCGCATACAGCATCTGCACATGAACTGACATAGTATGCCATTTTCTGGGACTTTTGGCTTGTGAGAGCTACTTTCAGAACTATTGGCTAAAAGGTCTACAAAAGTACTGGAGAATCTCTTTAATTATTATTGAAAATAGTTTGAATATGGAATCTGAATAGGAATCCTTTCCAGTGACATCTATGCCTCTTCTTTAGTTGCTGGTTTGTAGATAACGTTCTGTCTGGAGTCCTTTTTGATACTGCAGAGAAAGGAAATACATACACTTAGTCTACAACACATGTACCTGCAGCCTGTGTCCTCTGCTTAACTCAGTGGCATAAGAGTGTACTTGTAGCCCGTATGAATGACATAACAATGGTCAATATTGACCAGTTTATATACACTGTATGTGTACGTATAGCTGTATGTATAGTATGCAGAGGGTCCAATCGTTAGAAAACATGACGAATCCCGGAATCAAGGGAACAGAGGGTCACGATACGACTTATTCTTATTTAAACAATCTTTGACAAAATACATTTTGGTCTTTGACAAAGGACATTTGGTCTTCAGCAATAAACATACGTTGCACACCAAAACAGAGGAATCTTTCCATGGATATTTGGTTTTATGATTGGACAGGCCAGCCAAAGACTGTCTTCATTCTGGAAAATGCCGGGAACAACACCAGAACTCATCATTCGTCAGAAATGAGAAGAACAGGAGTCTTACTTACACAGAGTATTTTTTACGCTGTTGGTATGCGTAGAGCGTGAATAGCAGCAAGGTGACGGCAAAGAGAGCTCCAAAGGCTATGGCCAAGATATCTCCTGTAAATCAAGAGATACATTTGATGTTTACCATGTAGATGTTACTTATGAACCTACCTTAATAGGGCAGTTTCAAACCAATTCTGAATTTTTAAAGTTTAACATAATCAGTAATCAATTACATATTCAGTGTTTAAATTCATTTAAATACTGTGTAAAAAGTGAATAAATTGGAAAGTATTTAGACCGTTTAAAAATGTATTTCTTAGATTTAGATAGAAGTTGTGCATGTTGGATTTGTATTACTGTTGAGCACAGCTTACCTCTTGCCAGGCCCTCTTCAGGAACATGAAAAAGAGAGGGACATGTATATTAAAACATGTAAAACTGACCTTACCCCCACAAGTAAACTGTCCTACACATAAACAGTCTGTGTTCTTGCCACACAGGTAAGGTCAGCATGGTGAACGTATAACATCAGCTCAGAGCACAAGGCCTTGTTTAACTTCTGATATGTACAATCTACATCTAAAGTTTCCCCTAGGCACAGATCTGGGATCAGCTTTCCCCTTCCCCAATCCTAACCTTAACCATTAATGGGGGAAATGTAAAACTGGCCCAAGATCAGCGTCTTGGAGCAACTTCACTCTACTCCGATAACAGTGTACCTTTACAAATCAAAGCTCTGGCATCAAAGCCAGTGACATCGATCACGTCAATAATGAAAAGTCAAGGTGCTGTGTACACACTGCATAGCACACACAGGACTCCAGTTATCTGCATGGCAAACAGCCTAAGAGCATGTTCAATGAAACATTAAGACAAGGGAGCATGGCTACCATGTGCCACCTGCCCTTATAAAATCCATGTACGTCCAGACAATCCTTTTCCTATGCACCACCAGCGTTTTAGCTTGGTCCCAGATCTGTTTGTGCACCACCAGCGTTTTAGCTTGGTCCCAGATCTGTTTGTGCACCACCAGCGTTTTAGACTGGTCCCAGATCTGTTTGTGCACCACCAACGTTTTAGACTGGTCCCAGATCTGTTTGTGCTCATGTCAGCTACTTGTCAACTCCTTGTCACTCTTTGTCATGCCAAACAATGTTGAAATGATAGCACAAACTGATCTGGGATCAGGCTACCATCTTTTTTTTAAATGGATGACAATTGGTGCCTGCATAGTCAACACGATTATCAAATCAAATCACATTTTATTTGTCACGTGCCGAATACAACAGGTTATCCTTACAGTGAAATGTTTACTTACAAGCCCTTAACCAACAATGCAATAAAATAACAGTAGCGAGGCTATATACAGGGGGTACCGGTACAGAGTCAATGTGCGGGGGCACAGCTTAGTTGAGGTAATATGTACATGTAGGTAGAGTTAAAGTGACTATGCATTGATAATAAACAGACAGTAGCGCTTGCCGTGCAGTAGCAGAGAGAACAGTCTATGACTAGGGTGGCTGGAGTCTTTGACAATTTTTAGAGTCTTCCTCTGACACTGCCTGGTATAGAGGTCCTGGATGGCAGGAAGCTTGGCCCTAGTGATGTACTGGGGATTATTATCCCACATTTAAACGAAATGGTTGTCCTTACATTTCTAGTCTCTCGGTGCTCCGCATGACAGCGGCTGTGAGAAGGGACTATTGTACATCATATAACTCCAGAGTCGTCAGAGTTGGACTTTTTAAAATCATACTAAAAATAGTCTTTGGACTTATAATACTTTGCTTACTGGATGGCCCAGTTGATGGCCCTTCACGGTTAGAGGCATCAGTCTCCGACAAGGTGTTGATAGAGATACTTGGACGTCCTGCAACTGCAAGCAAAAACAATGACTTATCTCAATGTCAACGGGAATAGATAGAAAGTACAATAATAATAATAATATTAATAACAATAATAACAATACTCTATCAATGTGAAAAGTGTAGTGGTGAGAAGAACATGAATGAATGAATAAATTACAGAATTCCCTAGATTCGACCACCTGTGGCCTCTCATGCAACCGTCACACCAATAATATGAGATGTATCATGTAGAAGGAATTTTCAGATTTTCTTGTGAACTGGTGCCGAAGGTTGTGTGTTATCACGCAATACCTCTGCCTTTGAGTGGTGAGTTTGTCTCTGAAAGATAAGTACTCCCAACCTTTACAAGGTCATGCATGAACCCATGTGACATGAAGTATGTACCTGACAGCGAGGTTGCCTAAGGTGGAACACACGTCAAGTGTACATAGGGGGGGGACGATGTTTACTAACCGACTATGGTGGGAGTGTCCGTGAACGAGGCGAGGACGTGTCTCCCGTGTAGAAGCTGAGGTGCTCTGAAGTTCTTGGTCAGGTGCTGGTGTTGGCCTGCTTTCAGGGTGTCCTCCAGAGCAGCCAACTGGAGAACAACACAACATGGACACCGTCAACATGGAGATCCATTACCAGATTGTAGATTGAAGATAGATTCTACTGTTATGTTCAGCCCACATGACCCACACAGTTTTCAAACAGATTACCAGATAATTGAATTGAATAAATGACTAGAACAAATTAAAACAGTATCTAGTAGTGCTCTTTCTAAATGCTCTGTCTAAATCTCTCTTGTTTGAAGATCTATTTTTAGACATGAAAATACAGACATACAGTACTTGTAGTTGTGGATCACTTGTACTCTCAAGGAGGTATACATGATGCAAGTCAATCTGTAACTCTCCAGGAGGTATACATGATGCAAGTCAATCTGTAACTCTCCAGGAGGTATACATGATGCAAGTCAATCTGTAACTCTCCAGGAGGTATACATGATGCAAGTCAATCTGTAAATCAATCTCCAGAGTCATAGTGGGTTGGTGACCGACCTGCCTCCTGGACACTATGGTATCATTACTGACCTGCCTCCTGGACACTATGGTATCATTACTGACCTGCCACCTGGACACTATGGTATCATTACTGACCTGCCTCCTGGACACTATGGTATCATTACTGACCTGCCTCCTGGACACTATGGTGGTATCATTACTGACCTGCCTCCTGGATGCTATGGTATCATTACTGACCTGCCTCCTGGACACTATGATGGTATCATTACTGACCTGCCTCCTGGACACAATGGTGGTATCATTACTGACCTGCCTCCTGGACACTATGGTGGTATCATTACTGACCTGCCTCCTGTACACTATGATATCATTACTGACCTGCCTCCTGGACATTATGGTGGCATCATTACTGACCTGCCTCCTGGACACTATGATGGTATCATTACTGACCTGCCTCCTGGACACTATGGTGGTATCATTACTGACCTGCCTCCTGGACACTATGGTGGCATCATTACTGACCTGCCTCCTGGACACTATGATGGTATCATTACTGACCTGCCTCCTGGACACTATGGTGGTATCATTACTGACCTGCCTCCTGGACACTATGATGGTATCATTACTGACCTGCCTCCTGGACACTATGGTGGTATCATTACTGACCTGCCTCCTGGACGCTATGGTGGTATCATTACTGACCTGCCTCCTGTACACTATGATATCATTACTGACCTGCCTCCTGGACATTATGGTGGTATCATTACTGACCTGCCTCCTGTACACTATGATATCATTACTGACCTGCCTCCTGTACACTATGGTGGTATCATTACTGACCTGCCTCCTGGACACTATGGTGGTATCATTACTTACCTGCCTCCTGTACACTATGGTGGTATCATTACTTACCTGCCTCCTGGATGCTATGGTATCATTACTGACCTGCCTCCTGGACACTGTGATGGTCTCATTGAACATGGTCCAGTTGACTGTTTGGAAGCAGGGTGGAGTGGTAAGGGAGCCGTTATATCTGTAGAAGTGATCCAGCTTGTTTGGCAAAAGATGACGGACATTGAAGGCAGGGATCTCAGTGTTAGACTCTGGAAAGGGGTAAAATAGTTAATCAATTGTGTGGACCATGTGGGTCCTTAAGCTGCCATTTTGTTTCTCATGAATGTTTATGTCTCTCCTTTTGTTGTGAATCTCTTTTAACGCACTGCAATTTCTGTATGGAATACACATTTCTGTGAAAACTGACACTAAAGTACTATCTAACCTAATCTAATCAATAAGAACGTGAGAAACGCCATGGGGGTTCTTAGTAATCTGTTGTGGACAGACGCACATAAATTCTAACTCCTGTTCGCATAAACTGGTAGCATAGCTAGCATACAGAAATCGGTGGTGGTAGTCAAAGTCATTTTTAACTGTAATGCAGTTCGGGATCTTTCTCCCACTGCATCCATCTTTCCCCAACGCGTTTCCATGGCATTTCCATTGTTTTGGTTGAGTTCCATTGACCTCTTTCCGCATCTATGGAAAGGGAAGCTTGCCACAAGAAGTGGAGGCAGTTGCAGGACAAGCTCGTAAAGGTAAATGAAGGTTTGAAGTGGAGATGCAGGTGTGAAAACTTTGCCGCCTTTTTACTTAATGCCATCTTGGCTGAGTTCCTACGTCAAGCACCAGGAAATGGACTCCAACATCTGAGAAAAGGTAAGGTCTTGTCTTTTCGTTTAGCCAGTTGCTCGTAATTACCTGGATGGCTATAGAGATTAGCCCTGAATCTCTACGAGTGGTGCGGTTCAGACCTATTTATTGAATGCGTATGACAGCTCCCCGAAGCGCAAGAAGTATGACTGCTCTGACTTCTGCAGATGTCGAATCGCCGTAAATGCTGCACGGCCATGAATCGGCTGTGCACAGATTTTGTTGTCACTGATCTATTGGACAAATCACAATTTCACAGGTGTTCACATCTTTTCAGAAAGGGAGGGGACATTTGGCCATTGCTTAGGCTGAGAGTCAGGGCTGGGGTCAATTCCAATTCAATTCTTGAATTCACTCATGAAGTGGAGAATTTATGTTGAATTTAATTTGAATTTCAACAATCTTCAAGTTATGGAATTGGAATTAGACTGTTTGGACTGTTTGAATTGGAATTTAATTGGAATTCAATATTTGTAAATTTCCCAGTTAATGGAATTAATGCACTTAGTATCAACAATTTACTATAGGATTTGTTTTAAATAATTTCAACTTGTATGTATATATTTCCATTATAGCTAGGCTGTCTGAAAAGTAACATGATCAGCCTGAAAGCCTGAGGGAATTGAATTTGATCTAGAATTCATAGAATTGTTGGGGATAATACTAAAGTGGGAATTGAATTCTTGGAATTTACCTAACATTTGAATTGAGAGGAATTCAATTATCTCTGAATTCAAAGACTGACCTGGAATTTAATTGAATTAAATGGAATTTACATGGAGCGGGAATTGAATTAGAATAGAATTTGCAGAATTGACCCCAACCCTGCTGAGAGTTTCTGTTTAAGGGGGTGAAGACTTTGCTCATCTTGTTAGCATCTTTTCTCATATATCTCTGATACAATTATGCAAGATTTTAGTTCTGGGTTTCCGAGATTAGGTTCTCAGTAATAAAGTGCTATTTAATTTTCAGTAAATTCTCTTGCTATGTTCATTTGTGACCTAGAAAGCATAAATGAGAAAACAGTCTCCAATCTGTTGGAGACAACACGAGGACATTTCAAGAAAGGAGTATGTAAACTACATCTAGCGTTGGTAGTACACAATGTTTTGGCCACAAAACATTGTCTTTGGCTAGAGGCGTATCCCGGGGTTACCTTCAATGCTAACATCAGTGAGTGCAGACAGGATCTTTTCATAGTTGTCATTCTCATGAAGACCAATCTAAATAAAAAAGAGTCAGGAAGAATCCTATTAAAGTGATTACTTTTGTATAAAATATTTAATAATCTTGAGGATTCTCCTGATTAATGTCTGTTTTTAAGTGTGTGAAATTGAAAACAAATGTCTTATCCTAGAATCTTTTCCAATAGTGGTGTATGAAAATAGACTAATAAAACTTCAAACCTTTGAGTCACCATGATGAGTTATTATGAGGGTACTGGTATACAGTGGGGAAAAAAAGTATTTAGTCAGCCACCAATTGTGCAAGTTCTCCCACTTAAAAAGATGAGAGAGGCCTGTAATTTTCATCATAGGTACACGTCAACTATGACAGACAAAATGAGAATAAAAAATCCAGAAAATCACATTGTAGGATTTTTTATGAATTTATTTGCAAATTATGGTGGAAAATAAGTATTTGGTCAATAACAAACGTTTCTCAATACTTTGTTATATACCCTTTGTTGGCAATGACACAGGTCAAACGTTTTCTGTAAGTCTTCACAAGGTTTTCACACACTGTTGCTGGTATTTTGGCCCATTCCTCCATGCAGATCTCCTCTAGAGCAGTGATGTTTTGGGGCTGTCGCTGGGCAACACGGACTTTCAACTCCCTCCAAAGATTTTCTATGGGGTTGAGATCTGGAGACTGGCTAGGCCACTCCAGGACCTTGAAATGCTTCTTACGAAGCCACTCCTTCGTTGCCTGGGCGGTGTGTTTGGGATCATTGTCATGCTGAAAGACCCAGCCACGTTTCATCTTCAATGCCCTTGCTGATGGAAGGAGGTTTTCACTCAAAATCTCACGATACATGGCCCCATTCATTCTTTCCTTTACACGGATCAGTCGTCCTGGTCCCTTTGCAGAAAAACAGCCCCAAAGCATGATGTTTCCTCCCCCATGCTTCACAGTAGGTATGGTGTTCTTTGGATGCAACTCAGCATACTTTGTCCTCCAAACACGACGAGTTGAGTTTTTACCAAAAACTTCTATTTTGGTTTCATCTGACCATATGACATTCTCCCAATCCTCTTCTGGATCATCCAAATGCACTCTAGCAAACTTCAGACAGGCCTGGACATGTACTGGCTTAAGCAGGGGGACACGTCTTGCACTGCAGGATTTGAGTCCCTGGCGGCGTAGTGTGTTACTGATGGTAGGCTTTGTTACTTTGGTCCCAGCTCTCTGCAGGTCATTCACTAGGTCCCCCCGTGTGGTTCTGGGATTTTTGCTAACCGTTCTTGTGATCATTTTGACCCCACGGGGTGAAATCTTGCGTGGAGCCCCAGATCGAGGGAGATTATCAGTGGTCTTGTATGTCTTCCATTTCCTAATAATTGCTCCCACAGTTGATTTCTTCAAACCAAGCTGCTTACCTATTGCAGATTCAGTCTTCCCAGCCTGGTGCAGGTCTACAATTTTGTTTCTGGTGTCCTTTGACAGCTCTTTGGTCTTGGCCATAGTGGAGTTTGGAGTGTGACTGTTTGAGGTTGTGGACAGGTGTCTTTTATACTGATAACAAGTTCAAACAGGTGCCATTAATACAGGTAACGAGGGGAGGACAGAGGAGCCTCTTAAAGAAGTTACAGGTCTGTGAGAGCCAGAAATCTTGCTTGTTTGTAGGTGACCAAATACTTATTTTCCACCATAATTTGCAAATAAATTCATTAAAAATCCTACAATGTGATTTTCTGGAAAAAACATTCTCAATTTGTCTGTCATAGTTGACGTGTACCTATGATGAAAATTACAGGCCTCTCGCATCTTTTTAAGTGGGAGAACTTGCACAATTGGTGGCTGACTAAATACTTTTTTCCCCCCACTGTAATTCAACATGTCTGGAATAATTTACCCCGATGAAGCCCCCTAGTACAGCCAGGCCATCTGATTTGGTGGCTGCCTCTGACAGATTTGCATATTTAGAGTTGTAATGAACCACGTGGATCTGGGAAGAGAAGCACAGGAACATGTCAGTCACTGTTTGGCACAGTATTATTTAGAGCCATGATTGCACGGAACTCCCTTCCATCTCCTATCGCTCAAGTGAACAGCAAACGTGGTTTCAAAAATCCGACAAAGCAACACCTCTCCCCTATTTGACCTAAATATTTTGTGTGCATGTACTGATATGTAGGCTATGTGTAAGTGATGGCCTAGATGCTACTGAATATAAATGTAATATATGAAAATGTAAATGTTAAAGGCCTAGAATAGTAGGTTTATTTTCTCAGTATTGAGTCAGTACAGAACCTTTTTCTTGTTTTACATTTCTGTAGTTCTGTCCTTGAGCTGTTCTTGTCTATGTTCTGCATTATGTCATGATTCATGTTTTGTGTGGACCCCAGGAAGAGTAGCTGCTGCTTTCACAACAGCTAATGGGGATCCTAATAAAATACAAAAAATGTTGTGTTGTCGTGTCAGTGTTGTCTTGTTGTCTTGTCAGTGTTGTTGTTTTTAGTATGTTGACTATGAGCCACATGCCAAAGACAATTTCCCATCTTTACATATACATTTGATGGACAATGAAAGGATTTTGAGTTGAAACTAATTGAACCGGCAATAATTCTGGGCATTTTTCATTTCTGCAGTATTTCTGACTTCCTCACCTCCGCAGGGAAATGGACTTTATCTATGGTGTGTTCAGATCCTGGCACCTCTTTGGTCCCCCAGTGGAAATGCAGTTGGGCGGCCCGGAACTCGTTGTCAAACCCACTGACGATGCGCATAGTGTTGGGTAGAATCAGCTGCACTGGAGACACACACAGACCACAACACATCAAGCAACATGGAACTACTTCCGTCTGTTTAGCCTTTCCTGTGTAGAACCCTCTGCAAAGCCATCCACGTTTTAGTACAGCTTTATTAGGAAAAATGTTGCCTAATAGATGTTGCTCGTACCTTCAATATAATGCATATTAGACAGCCAGGAACTTACAGGTATGGCCGTTGTTCAACAGTGTCAATGCTGAGCTATCTGTCAGATCGTAGCCCTCCAGTGTTATGGGTGGCAGGCTGCGGTCATAGACGGCTCTCCTGGTATCAATGTCAATGGGAGACTGGGATTTTCCACTGCAGTGCAAGAACTCGGAGGACCAGGCCGCTTGATCTGTCAATAGGATGTGGGGAAATGATTAACAGAACAATGACCCTTCGGCAGTGTGACTTAGTTAATGATAAGACACAGCTCTCTTCTTATGAATACAAGTTTTTTGCACATGGGATTTACACAGTAAATCACGGAAGACAAATATGCATGACACTGCAAGTGTCGCTGAAACTACGAACACCAGCAAGAAAGAGTTAGTAGTAAATCATGAAATAGTGATGCCCACCCAGTAAATAGTGATGACCACCAGGAAATAGTGATGCCCACCAGTAAATAGTGATGACCACCAGGAAATAGTGATGACCACAAGGAAATAGTGATGAACACCAGGAAATAGTAATGAATAAGCTGTATACCGTCTTATTTAGCTCCAGTAGGATAATATTTGATTAATGATGTGGGAGTATTAATGTGTTTGGTTCAACACCTGTAACAAGAGGCTATAAATTAAAGTTCATGATCACAACCAGTCATGAAGAGATCAACAATAGCAAACACAATTATTATTATTATTATTATCAATAAACTGTTTTATAACTATCAAGCAATCTTAATCTTAAGTCACTCTAATTTCACTCATTCAATTACATGATGGCTTGTTCTCACTGAGTAATACCAAGCAACAGGTACAAGATCGATCATGGAGGTGGACATTAACAGTGGGATGTTCCACTCATATCAATGAAGACTAGATGCTAAGTAAGGTGTCTTGAGTATTGGTAGAGTTCGCACCTGTGACTCACATTATGATCTTATTTTACCACCGTAACTAAAGCAAAACATGCTTATCTCCTATTACAGACTTGATAAGCCTTTCTTTGAGCGATAGAAAAGAAACTTGTGTTGGTAACTGATAGTTGGACTGATAAAGCAGATTACCCTGTGCAGAGAGAAGGATACAGTGCATGTACAGTTGAAGTCGGAGATTTACATACACCTTAGACAAAAACATTTAAACTCAGTTTTTCACAATTCCTGACATTTAATCCTAGTAAAAATTCCCTGTCTTAGGTCAGTTAGGATCACCACTTTATTTTAAGAATGTGAAATGTCTGAATAATTGTAGAGAGAATTATTTATTTCAGCTTTTACTTCTTTCATCACATTCCCAGTGGGTCAGAAGTTTACATACACTCAATTAGTATTTGGTAGCATTGCCTTTAAATTGTTTAACTTGGGTCAAACGTTTTGGGGTAGCCTTCCACAAGCTTCCCACAATAAGTTGGGTGAATTTTGGCCCATTCCTCCTGACAGAGCTGATTTAACTGAGTCAGGTTTGTAGGCCTCCTTGCTCGCACACACTTTTTCAGTCCTGCCACACATTTTCTATAGGGTTGAGGTCAGGGCTTTGTGATGGCCACTCTAATACCTTGACTTTGTTGTCCTTAAGCCATTTTGCCAGAACTTTGGAAGTATGCTTGGGGTCATTGTCCATTTGGAAGACCCATTTGCGACCAAGCTTTAACTTCCTGACTGATGTCTTGAGATGTTGCTTCAATATATCCACATATTTTTCCTTCCTCATGATGCTATGACGAGGTGTGAAAGAAGGAGTCAGGCGCAGGAGGTAAAATCCAGAGTCCAGAGTTTAAACCGTTTGCATAAATCAAACGCCCCAAGCGTCAAACGAAACTGTACAAGGGAAAACATCCACCTTGGCAATAACACAGTGAAATGTAGCTCAACCGAGCTACACGCACGCACTCACAACAAAACAATCACTCACAAAGACAAGGGGAACAGAGGGAACACTTATACACATACTAATTAGGGGAATGAGCACCAGGTGTGTGTGATTGACAAGACACGACAAGTGGAGTGATGAGAATGGGATCGGCAGTAGCTAGTACTCCGGTGACGACGAACGCCGAAGCCTGCCCGAACCAGGAGGGGGGGCAGCCTCGGCGGAAGTCGTGACAGTAACCCCCCCGATGCGCGGCTCCAGCAGTGCGTCGACCCCGGCCTCGGGGACGGCCAGGAGGACGCGGAGCAGGGCGAGTTGGATGGCGACGGTGGAAATCCCTCAACAGGGAGGGATCGAGGATGTCCCGCCTTGAGACCCAGCACCGTTCCTCCGGACCGTACCCATCCCACTCCACGAGATACTGAAGGCCCCCCACCCGACGCCTCGAATCCAGGATGGAATGGACCGAGTACGCCGGGGCCCCCTCAATGTCCAGAGGAGGTGGAGGAACCTCCCGTACCTCAGACTCCTGGAGCGGACCAGCTACCACCGGCCTGAGGAGAGACACATGAAACGAGGGGTTAATACGGTAATCAGGGGGAGTAACAACCTGTATGTCACCTCGTTTATTCTCCTCAGGACTTTAAACGGCCCCACAAACCGGCAGGCTCAGCTTCCGGCAGGGCAGCCGGAGGGGCAGATTCCGGGTCGAGAGCCAGACTCAATCCCCCGGTACGAACACCGGGGCCTCCCAGCATTGGCCTTCTGACGACGCACAGCGCACTGGAGGTGAACGTGGGCAGCGTCCCAAGTCTCCTCCGCACACCGAAACCAGTCATCCACCGCGGGAGCCTCGGTCTGGCTCTGGTGCCACAGTGCCAGGACCGGTTGGTAACCCAAAACATATTGGAAGGGTGTTAGGTTAGTGGAGGAGTGGCGGAGAGAGTTCTGAGCATATTCTGCCCATGGCAGGAACACCGACCACTCCCCCGTCCGGTCCTGACAGTAGGTCCGCAGGAACCTACCCACATCTTGATTCACCCTTTCCACCTGCCCATTGCTCTCGGGGTGAAAACCAGAGGTCAGGCTGACCGAGACCCCCAGACGTTCCATGAACGCCTTCCAGACTCTAGACGTGAACTGGGGACCTCGGTCGGACACTATATCCTCTGGTACCCCGTAGTGCCGGAAGACGTGAGTAAACAGAGCCTCCGCAGTTTGTAGGGCCATGGGGAGACCGGGCAGAGGAAGGAGGCGGCAGGACTTTGAAAAGTGGTCCACAACGACCAGGATCGTGGTGTTACCTTGGGAGGGGGGAAGATCAGTGAGAAAATCAATACTCAGGTGAGACCATGGTCGTTGTGGAACTGGTAAAGGTTGTAGCTTACCAGCTGGGAGGTGCTTAGGTGCCTTACTCTAGGCGCACACTGAGCATGAGGAAACATACACCCTCACGTCCTTAGCCAAGGTAGGCCACCAGTACTTCTCGGTCAGGCAGCGCATTGTACGACCGATACCTGGATGACCAGAGGAGGGTGACGTGTGTGCCCAGTAGATCAGACGATCACGGATAGGCGCAGGCACGTACTGCAGCCCAGCTGGACACTGCGATGGAGATGGATCTGTGCGTAATGCCTGCGCTATATCTGCGTCCATCGCCCATACTACCAGCGCCACAATGCATGAGGCCGGGAGTATGGGGGTGTTGTCTCTGGGCCTCTCCTCTGTGTCATACAGCCGAGACAGTGCGTCTGCCTTCACGTTCTTCGTACCCGAAATGTATGAGAGTGTGAAATCAAACCGGGTGAAGAAGAGGGCCCACCTGGCCTGGCGAGGATTCAGCCTCCTCGCTGCCCGAATGTACTCCAGGTTCCGGTGGTCTGTCCAAACGAGGAAAGGGTGTTTCGCCCCTTCGAGCCAATGTCTCCACACCGTCAAAGCTCAGACAACAGCCAACAGCTCCCGATCACCAACGCCATAATTCTGCTCCGCCGAGCTGAGCTTCTTAGAAAAGAAGGCACAGGGGCGGAGCGCCCGAGCGTTGGGATAAGACAGCTCCTATCCCTACCTCGGACGCATCCACCTCCACTACGAACGGTAGTGATGGATCGGGGTGAGCCAGTACCGGGGCTGAGGTGAACAGACCCCGCAATCTACTGAATGCCAAATCAGCCTCAGCAGACCAGCGGAGCCGGGACGGCCCACCCTTCAACAAGGAGGTAATGGGAGCTGCGACCTTGCCAAAACCCTGAATAAACCTTCGATAGTAGTTGGCAAAGCCAAGGAAGCGCTGCACCTCCTTTACCGTGGTTGGAGTCGGCCAATTATGCACGGCTGCAATGCGGTCTCCCTCCATCTCCACTCCTGTGGTGGTAATGCGATATCCGAGGAAGGAGATTGACTGCTGGAAAAATTCACACTTCTCTGCCTTGGCATAAAGATCATTTTCCAGCAGTCGGACCAGTACTTTGCGAACCAGGGACACATGCTCGGCGCGCGTAGCGGAATACACCAGGATGTCATCGATGTAGACCACCACACCACGACCAAGCATGTCCCGAAACACCTCGTTCACAAAGGACTGGAAAACGGATGGAGCATTCATCAAACCGTAGGGCATCACCAGGTATTCATAATGCCCCGAGATTGTGCTGAATGCTGTTTTCCACTCATCCCCTTCCCGAATACGCACCAGGTTGTAGGCACTCCTGAGGTCTACTTTGATGAAAAAACAGGCCCCATGCATTGACTCAATCACTGAAGGAATGAGGGGAAGAGGATAACTAAATCGTACCGTCACATTATTCAGTGGTCGATAATCAATGCACGGGCATAAACCGCCATCTTTCTTCTTCACAAAGAAGAAACTCGAGGAGGCAGTTGAAGTGGAGGGACGTATATACCCCTGGCACAGGGACTCGGTGACATATATTTCCATAGCATCCGTTTCAGCCTGCGACAGGGGATACACATGACTACTGGGAGGTACAGCGTCTACCCGAAGGTTTATCGCGCAATCCCCCTCCCGATGAGGTGGCAATTTAGTCGCTTGCGTCTTGGAAAACGCGAGCGCCAGATCATGGTATTCGGGGGGAATGCGCACGGTGGGGGTACCGTCTGGACTTTGTGGGGGTACCGCCTCCAGACCCAAAAGAACGTTGACTGCGACGTGAGGTGGATTTTTCCTACGTGCCACCAGAGTGGCACTGTCGCTGTCCTCCTGCGCTCTCTCGACAGGCAGCTCCCCCCAGCTCCCCCCAGCTCCATCTGCTCGGGGTCAGAGTCGTCTGGAGTGGGAATGGGCAGACCCCTAC